TTTGGTTGAGAGGGATATCCCAACTACTTAGGTCTGTACTTAGAGCAGGAGCATTGGAAGGCTCTTCTCTCTTCTTCGCTGTGACCTCTGTCTCGATGGGGGTATAGGTGGTAGTTCCTCTCTGTGCTTGTGTCTGCGAGGCTGCCAAAGAGTCCCATTAATTTCGGAACTGAGGGGGTGTTTGTCTGAGTAGTTGGATCCATTGGAGCCTTGCCTTTATGTTGGTCCCTAACCAATGGTTCAATAACAGGCCCAATTTTGGCTGTCAAAGGTCAAACAAGTTAGTGTTGTAGAGAAAAAAAAAAAAAGGGGCATGAGACAATCAGAGATATAAAGTATATGAAGGAAGGATACCTGTAGCCTTAAGCTTGGAAGGCGAGAATATGGGGCTCTGATTATCAATACAAGTATCTTGAAGGCAGGTTTCAAGTGGCTTGCAGAAAATAATGGCAGTCATAAGTCCCCACCAATAGTCAAAAGCAGTGGAGCAGTCCGAAGCAGGTTTGAAGAAGAAGGGACCAAAATCTTGGAAAAGTTTGGTGTTCTCTGTCAAAATGGATTCAGCTTGCCTAGGATCTTTGAAGTAGATTCTGGAGCCAATCTCCTCATAGATGGTTGGGTGGAAATAAGGATAAGAGATACCCTAGGAAAAACCTAATTGCCTAGACCATTGATTGGGACAGTATGTCTCAAAACTGCAGTTCGACATCTTGGTGGAGGATATGGAACAGCCAACCAAGACATGTCTACATGTGAGAATGTGTCTCCAAGTCTCATTTTGTGCTTGGACTTGCTCATTGTCTAAATCAGAAGGGTCTATGAAGAGGAAGCGAAGTCTATTGGAGGAGAATTGAAAGTTTTGAAACGACATGTACAAGTTGGAAGGTCTTTTCAAAGGAAGGTTGTAAAACATGGTAAGATGATTTCTGAAAGTGAGGATAGGTTGACTGTTATAAGTGAGCAATAGTTCAGCATTGGAGTGGAAAACTGGTTTCAAGGTGTTATGTTGTGGGGGTTGTGCCTCAGGGAAATAGGCATTTAACTAAGCCTGGAAGAGCCAGAAGGGTCCACCACAGTTGCCAGAAATCTTCTTGTCGACAAAGGAAAATAGGGCCTTGTAAAGGGTGGCAAGAAGATAAGGGGCTAAAGTCATAGCTTGGCCATCTTGCATACACAAGGCAAGGGGGAGGTACTCTTTGGTGATCTTGTGCCCAGGGACACAAAAAAGAAACTGACAAAGCCAAAGTAAGTAAAAAATAGTTCCTTCTTGGTACTTTACAGGGGAAATAGGCTTGCCTTTGTATCTCTGGGTGAAATCTGTATAGCTTATGTCAGTATTTAAAGTAAAGGTCACTTTTGGAGGTTCAAGGAGAGCATGAATTTCATTGCCCAAGATTGGGAGACTAGTCAGGTGAGCTACATCTAAGATAGTAGGGGAAATCATACCAAAATTGAGGAGAAGGGAGTTACAAGATTGCGACCAAAAGCATGCAGCAGCAGCAATTAGCCCTTTGTCCATGTCATATTTCTTGGTCGACAGTTTAATTGCTTCACTAATGCCCTGGTGCTTCCATACTTCAGAGTCATGACCTTCAATTCTCTTGGCCCAGCTTTGCCAAATAGAGTCTGGTGACCTCCAGCCTCTGCCTAGGTTTTTGCTGACATTCCAGTTAGTCCACTTAAGTCTAGGTTGGTTGAGAAGAAGGTTCTCACCATTACCAAGGGGATAGTATGGAGCTAGCTCGTCTGTGAAGTAAGACGTGAAGGTAGGGCCTAGAGTAGCCTTAGCGACAGAGCTTATGCTAGGCAATAAGGTAATACCTAATTTTAGAGGAGCGATACATGCTCTGATAGGGTCTGGGAAGCGGAGTAGGTCTTCATTGTTCTCCTCAGATGGAGATGGTTGAGATTTTTTGGGCGCCATGGCTTAGGGTTTTGTGGTGCTGTGGTTTTGAACGGCAATGCTTGAGAAGAAGGAGTATAGTCTGAGGAGTTCAAATCAGAGGGAAATGAAGTGGTTTGAAGTTGAAAAGGTGGGTCTTTTATAGCTTATGATGGGGCCAGTATTGTTTAAATGCTCTTTTATTGGGTTGTAGTTTATGTTTGTTTTGGGCCCGTAGTAAGAAATTTGCTATTGGACTTATCTCTTGGGCTCAGGGGAATAAATCTCTGGATTAAGTATAAATTAGGCTCAAATAATGGCCCCTTTGTTCAAGTTAAATATCATATCACTTGGACCCCCATAAGGGGGGCACCCCTATGACCCCCTCTCTATCTGATTGGCCAGTTTTTTTTTTTTTTTTTTTTCCTTCTTCTCCAATCACCAGCCCCCACTTGTGTATGGGGGGTGGTGGGGGTGGTGATTGGAGGGGGTCTCAATCACTTCCCCAGATGGTCCACTTAATGGAGGACACGTGGCCAAGTCTGAAGGAATGTCCACTAGTTAAAAGTGGGTTCTCTGTATGTGGGTCTCCTACAAGTGACGGGGGACGTTTTTAGCACTAGTCATGTAATTAGTGGGCACAATTTCAGGACGAAGCATGAGACAAAGCAGGAGCCTTGCTCTGTCAACAGAAGTTTCAAATAGTTGGTGGCCATGAAATAAACAGAAGAAATGGGAGATCGACAGATAAAAGTGAAGGTTTAGTATACTTGGAAAGCCTAGAAGGGAGATCGTGGGTTTTGATATCTGTATACTATTTTTGTGGCCCAACATTGCATGATCTCATACGTCTACACCATTATTGCCACTGTAACTGCCCCCTGATTTCGAATCTTCAAGTCCCCTTTGCCAAATATTGACTCTTCCCTGTCGACCTTCATTTTCACCATTGTGGGGGCATGTCCCTCATCATTATGAGATAAAAATCGACAGAATATTGTCCACCAAACACAACCACAATCCTTACAAACTGGGCCACTGAACCATAACACTTGGCCACTCACTGTAACTGCACCATGACTTTGAATCATCAAACTCTGCCAAATATTGAATTTTCCCTATAATTTAATCAATGTATTCAATGTCGGCAAACTTGTTAATATTTGAAATAACATTTTTTCTGGATTGTAATGACTTAAACACAATTGTTGTCCTACATTTTACGCAACCACAATACACAACTTATGTATATCGAAAACAAAATATACATCTCGGGTTTATAATCATAAAAATGGAAACTACTTTTTTTAAAAAAGAAGTTCACTCATATTTTCAGCTAAATTATGATTGGTTATTTTAAAAAAATTCCTCTTTGCACCTATTTTTCCCACATCCTGCCAACAACTGCTCCATTCAATTGAGGACACATGGCAAGTCCACCTGAAGACAAGGGTTATCTACTAACATTGAATCTTGCATGCCACTTGACTTACACGGTGGAGCAGTTATTGGCAGTGCTCATGGATTTAGTGGCTAGCCTCTAAGAGGAAACATGAACGAATTAGGAGTCTGTATCTGTCGAGGAAAGGCTAAAAGGACTTAGGCACAGGTGACAACTTCAATGATATGCACTTCGACTGGTACAAGTGAAGGTTTTATGTGATTTCAAGACATGGAAATGACCGTGCAGTTACAGAAGTTGCAAAGAAGCAGTTGCAGATTTGGCAGATCATCGGGTCGTAGGAAATAAGAGCTATAAAGAGCAGAAGATTTGCAAAGAGAGAGGACATGAACAACAACACAACAACTTACTTTCTACATTGCAACTTCTAAGTAGTTTTTTCCCTTCTCATTTTTACTTTGTGAACTTTGGTGATTTCAACCACAAATCAACAAAGGTTTATCTTCTACGATTTGTTACCATCAGCTCATATCAAAAAGTTCATTTTACTTGTTTACTTTGTTACAATCAGTTCATCGAAAGAAGTCTTCATCCTTTTCAGGCATTCGAACCAATACCACAATTGCTTGATTTTCTTCTTTAATTTGTCAACTTTAAATTACTGCTTGGTTGCTGTCAATATAGGCCTACCATAATTTTACAGACAATAAATCCATCACTTTCATAGTTAACATGAAATAATTTTACAACTCCTGTTCGTAACTCGTAATTCATATAGCAATCGACATAGAGATAAAGTAAACGAGTTCGTTGGGTTACTTTCTCCAAGTAACACCCAAAATTAACTACCACTTGGATTATATACAAAATGTATGCACTGGGATGTAATTTTGCAAAACCACGTCGACAAAATTCGTATTTTACTTGAAATATAATACTAATTTACCGAAACAAGTCATAACAAATCAATACGAAGCCAAGCACATCGTTAGTTGATAAACCACACCGCAAAAAACCTTTCAGTTAGATCCAACTAAATATGGAACAGAAACAAGCAACCCACAATAGGAATCTTGGAATATAGACATAAGCTAATTTCCAACCCAAAACAATACACAGACAACCCATATATATGTCACCTTCAATTAGTTTTCAAAATGACAAGTCACTGCAAACACAAATGACAATATCACTCTAAACAATATGGGAAATTTATAACTCATGGCCTTGTACATAAGTAACGTTGTGCCATTTCCTGCCATTGTACGTAACCAATTATTTACACGTTACGTACAGCAATACGTGCAAAATGAAAACTACATACATATCTACCCTGTTCTTCGCAATGATGTGTTTTCAATAGCTAGTACTGTCTACCTAATAAATTAAGGGAGTAAGTAAATCATACAAATTATACAATTACCTGATTCACTTCATCAATTGTGGTCGAATCATTTTTTGCACACTGCTGCTTCGACATTACCGTATTGGCCCACAGGCTGTTTAGAATCAGGAGAAACATCGAAAATTAGTCGTCGTTGCTTAATGTGCGGTGTACTTGGATCCACCAACCCAATTTTGCAGCGAATGGGCAATGACTTCGCATTGTACTGATGATAAAAAAAAGTTACAACCCACTGTTCGGCTAAACCGAACCTTAGGACACCTTCACTTTGTGTGCCCAATGCATTTGCAATTCTCAAATTTTCTTGGTCTTCAATAGCTGGACGAGGCTCGCCTCGGGTTTCCTTTTGTCTTCACAAGATCAGGATCTTTTACTCCAAATTGTCGTAGGATTGAATGTTTCCCTTTGTCTCCATCCCCATTGTTTAGATTCCTCTCATATAACTCCTTCATTCGGCTCATCATCAGAAGACATGCGTCCCTAGCTTCTTTGAAACCTTCTGTTGATTGCGAGGCATAGAAACACATTTCATTGTAGGAAGAACTCAATATCTCATACCGGGCCGTCTGTGTTGTAGTGCTATCAATTGAGAGTTGAGGCCATTGCTGGCCATCCTTGCTTGCAGTCCTTGTCCATCTATGCAGCACACAAGTTTGGAAAATTTGCGTTAAATTTTCAGCTTTCAAAACACATATCATGTGACAGCGAGGTAGCCCTAACGACTCAAACTTCATGCAAGAACATCTCATTGCAGCATCCACTGGATTGTGTGTTACTATCCATGATCTATCCTTCACCTTGTACTTATGAATATAGTAGCATTTCTGACCATCCGGCATAGGGAACACGTCCTTGACATTCAACTTCCCCTCTTCTAAGATTTCATCACGGAACATTCTAAATATATTTCGGGTGAATAGCTTAGCTCCATGTCTCTCTATATCTCGCAATGGAGTAATCAATACCGAAAAAGTGTTATTTGTTTCAGCATCATCTCCAACCTCGTTATACCTTATCCTTGCAAGAGCCCGATCATAGTGCCTAACAAATTCATATAGCTTCAATTTGTGTTGGAGGAAGGGATTGAAATAAGCACTCATACTCTTCGAGCGCTGAGTGCTCTTCATCCCAGCAAAGAAATGTCCACGCATATATGCCTCAGCCCACATATGACGCTTCTCATATGTCTCCAACGCCCAGCTGTTGGTTTGAAGTCCAAATTTTTCGACCATTTTCGTCCAGCCATGCTTTGCCTCATCCGTTTCCATGTCCATGCACTGCTTGAAAGCATGTGCGAAGCCACTTTTGTGAACATTTGAAATAGCATTTTTCCCAAGATGCCAATTACATAATCGATGTCTTGCGTCTGGAAATACACTTCTGATTGCCTCTCGCATCGCTTTATCCCCATATGTCAGTATGGACAGAGGTGCTTTATTTCCCATCGCTTCTATAAATGTTTCTAAAACCCATGTGTATGTATCAATTGTCACATTAGCTAGCAAAACACATGCAAATATCGTGGTCCTAAAGTGGTTAGTCACACCAGCCAACATGACAAAAGGTTTCTTGTACGCATTGGTTCTGTAAGTTGAGTCAAATATCAACACATCACCAAACTTTGCTTAGTTAGCCCGTGATTTTGAATTTGCTCAGAACAGATTTTGTAACTTGTTATCCTTACAAACATCATACTTGTAAAAAAAAACGTTCGTCAACATCAAGTTTTGCACATAGGTAAACTAACGCACCATGCACATCACCATCCTCAATTTCTGCTCTACGTTCGGCTTGAATATGGTGGTGCAGATCTGTACGGATAAAACCAACATTCTCATAAGACCCAGATTGATTTTCCATATAGTCCATGATTGGGCTAGTCTTTACACTGACGTTGCACATAGCCATTGCTTAAGCTTTGTAAGCGCTGTTTAAACCGCGATGTGACCTCAGATACATCACACAGTGTTGTTCCGCCAATTCATGGTTGTGGCGACGAAGTGAGTCACAACATACTTTCCCCCTTCACCAGCATCTGCATCGTACCTGTGGGAGCCGAATTTACTTGGATCAATAGAGACGAATGGGCCAGTCTGGTCCAGAACTTAACCTCTATTCGACATTGATCCGGTCAATTGAAGAGCCGAATAAAATGGACGGCATTCCAACCAGTAGAACAAAGGCCGAATAGAAGTACATGTAAAAGATCAGGGGTGGGCCAGGCCCTAAGGCCCAAAGATAATACTATAAATATAGGATCTTCAGTCAGAGAAAGGGATGTGAGAACCATTACGCTTAACTTAAAATACAAGTAATTCAGAGAGTGGAGACTGACTTGCCTGTCGGAGTTCTAATTCCGGCACCCCCGAGCAGAGTGTTTATTCATTTTTAGGTGACTAGCTGAAGATCACAAGCGTCCCCCAGGATCAAAAGAGTATTTCCAAACCACTATCCCCATAATGGGCGCCGTCTATGGGAATACTCAAGCATATCCATAGCGGCAGTCACTATCGACCCTACACCGCAAGATGAAACCACTCCAAGCAATATGCTTGGGCCAGAGAATATTACCGCAAGAAGGGCCTTGAACTTTGGCTCACCCTCGACATCAGCACAAGAGGCAATGCAAGCGATTATGGAGCAAGCAAAGCAAAGCAAAACGAGCAGAGGTTGGAGAACATGATCGTTGAGAACGAACGTCTCTGACAGGATTTGGCCTTGGAAGTTGCGAAGCCCACACAAGCTATGCGCCAAGATTTGGAACAACCTCTGAGGGCAGGTGGTCGATGACCTCGAGCCCGACAACAGGACACTGACAGTGACTCTGACTCATTATCCCCGGAGCCCAAAAAGAAGGGTCGACTCGAAGCTACCAGTTCTTTTGAAGAGAGTGTTCGTATAAGGCATAAACGAAGAAGAAACAGTTCAGACGAAGAAGACTAGCATGATCCCTTTGTACGATGGATCGCAAGGGCGGTCCTGCCCAAAAAGTTCAAAGCTCCGTCGTTCATTCTCTATGATGGAAAATCAGACCCCACCGATCACATTCGTCACTACAAGCAAGCCATGGCAGTGCATGCAGACGGCGAGGCCCTCATGTGCCGAATATTTTCCAACAGTTTGGGACCATTGGCTGTCAGGTGGTATTATAAACTGGAGCCGACTTCGATCAAGAGCTTCCATCAATTACAGAAATCCTTCAGGGCCAGATTCATCACCAACGAGGTACAGCCGAAATAGGCCGACTCTCTCTGGGCAATGCAGATCCAGCCAGGAGAAACACTAAGAGCGTATTCGGCACGCTATTGGGAGTGCTTTAATCTTGTTGATGACGCGTGCAACGACTCCATGGCCATCACCGCCTTCAAAATGGGTTTGCACCCTGACAGTGCTCTTCGCAGCTCCTTGACTAGAAGACCCCCCAAAACAGTTTGGTCGTTGATGAAGGAAGTTAAGGAATACTGCAAAGTGGAGGATGACGCCTTGCGGGTTAAAGCCGGAAACACGGCCAACAAGACGGCTCCTTCTGAAATTGCTCAGCCGATAAGTTTCGTACCACCTCAGAGCCCCGAACCGCGACATCGAGCTAAACGGGACAAAAAACGGGGTTCTCGCCGATCAAGCGACCACTGCCCCCACCGAGCAAATGAACAACTGCAAATCGATGGCAGGCGCACAAGGTGCGCCGAAAAGAAATACACAGAGTTGTCAGAGCCGATCAGTGCGATTATGCCCAAAGTCCAACAACTTTCGTTCTTCAAATGGCCATCCAAATGGTGGGACCTCCCGAAACGAGAAGACGAGATAGGTGGTGCGAGTATCACAAGGATCACGACCATGATACTGAGAGTTGTTACGCATTGAAGGATCACCTGGAGGAATTGGTACAAGATGGTCGGCTACAACAATACATCCAAAAAGGCAACTTAACCAAAGCAATAGCCTTAAGGCAGGATTCCCCTCCACTCAGCGTGATCCACATGATATATAGCCTGCCAATGTCATCCGCGGTGCATACGATTCAGTCGAATCCCGACCCTCAAAATCAACTCACTTCGGCTAAACGGCCCCATGAAGCTGTGAGCATTGTTTTTGATGATTCAGATTTGGCCGGAGTGACACTTCCCCACATCGATCCCTTGGTGATCGAGTTATGCGTAAATCGATTCACCGTTGAGCGCGTACTCATTGATTCAGGGAGCACATCAGAAATTATGTATTACAAGACATTCACCAAACTTGGCTTCTCTGAATCGGATCTCTCTCCGGCTCCTTATCCACTATTTGTCTTCAACGCCAATCCAGAATACCCGTTGGAAAAAATCACACTGCCCGTCCGAGTGGGCTCCCGAATAGTAGATGTGGAATTCTTGGTCGTCAAGCTACCATCGCCGTATAATCTTATCATGGGGCAAACTTGGTTGCATACTATGCAGGCCATGCCAAGCACCTATCATTAGCTGCTACGCTTCCCGATAGAGCGCGGCATTGAGCAAATCCGTGGCTCCCAGAAATTGGCACAAGCATGTTATCTCCTGGCTGAAAAGATGCCAAAAGAGTTGCAAGTGAATTCAATTGAGGTGCCCGATCGAGAGAGCCTCGACGATGTTGGGCGGCTCCCAAGTGAAAAGGCCACGGAGACCCTAGATCAAGTTGAGATTGACGGCAACCAGACAGGTTCTTCATGGTTGGCGCCTTCCTGAATCAAGCTGACAGGCAGCAGCTAATTTCCTTCCTACTTGGCAACCTTGATATATTTGCGTGGTCACCATATGAGATACCGGGTGTAGATCCGTCAGTTTCGCAGCACTGTTTGAATGTTGACCCTAAATGCAAGTCGATCATTTAGAAAAGCCGGCGGTCAGCCGCTGAGCACGCTGCCGCCATTGTTGAAGAGGTTGACAGGTTTGCTTGACGCCAGGGCAATCACGGAAGTGACCTACCCTACATGGCTCTCTAATACTGTGGTTGTGAAGAAGAAAAACAGGACTTGGCGAGTGTGCGTTGATTTCACGGACCTAAACAAAGCCTACCCCAAGGACTGTTTTTCCCTACCCAGAATTGACCAACTTGTAGATGCAACGGCACGCCATCAGCATATGAGCTTCCTCGATGCTTACCGAGGCTACCATCAAATCGTCATGCATCCAGAGGACAAAGACAAAACTGCATTCCTCACCCCAAGAGGAACCTACTGCTATAAGGTTATACCTTTTGGGCTGAAGAATGCAGGGGTAACTTACCAAAGACTGGTCATTTCAATGTTCAAGGAGCAACTCGGCCACACTATGGGAGTATACATTGATGACATAGTGGTCAAGTCCAAGGAAGAGTAGAATCATATAGCCGATCTGGAAGAGACATTCGGCATTCTACGTAAATATAGAATGAAGTTGAACGCTTCCAAATGTACGTTTGGGATCGGCTCTGGCAAATTCTTGGGTTACATTGTCAACCACTGAGGAATCGAAGCCAACCCAAGGCAAATCACAGCAATCCTAGAACTCGGTCCCCTCGATCGGTTAAGGAAGTTCAAAAGTTAATGGGGATGGCCGCTGCACTCAACAGGTTCATCAGTCGTTCCGCGGACCGTTGCCGACAATTCTTTCATACACTATGGCAGCGTAAGGCTTTTGAATGGTCTGCCGAGTGCGAAGCTGCTTTCAGCGGCCTCAAGACCTACCTCCAATCAGTTCCACTCCTGACAACACCTTTGGTCGGTGATCCGCTCATTTTGTATCTGGCAGTTTCCGATCGGGCCGTCAGCGCCGTACTAATAAAGGAAGAACTGGGGGAGCAGCGACCAGTGTATTATGTGAGCAAGGCAATGGTTAACGCCGAAACACGCTACCTTCCGTTGGAAAAACTCATTCTGGCCCTTGTCATGGCAGCAAGAAAACTGAAGTATTACTTCTAGGGGCATAGCATCGGGGTGCTAACAGATTACCCCCTCCGATCAGTACTACGAAGTGCAGAAGCATCAGGACGCGTTTCAAAGTGGGCTCTTGAACTCGGTGAGTACGATATTCAGTTTCTACCTAGAACCTTAATCAAGGGACAGTTGCTTGCCGACTTTGTTGTCGAATTCACAGGGGGTCTTACCGACTTCAAGTCTGATGAAATTCGACCTAAGCCGAACTGGAGAATTTATGTTGGGGACATTTGATAGTTGTACTATGATGGATCATCTAATCAATGGGGCAGTGGAGCCGGAGTAGTAATCATGGCTCCCGATGGCACAATAATTAAGTAGGCCGTCAAGCTCGGCTTCGAAGCATCAAATAACGACGCTGAATACGAAGCCCTTCTAATCAGTTTGCGTAATGCACATTTTCTGGGTGCTCGATGTTTGCTTGTATTTTGCGATTCAAAACTGGTGATCAATCAGATAAAGGGGGAGTACGCGGCAAGAAATGACTGTATGGCGGCTTACATGGAAACGGCTAACACTTTGCTGTCAAAATTTGACCATCATGAATTGAATCAGATAACACGTGATCAGAACACACATGCAGATGCCCTGGCTTGCCTAGCCTTCGCCATTAACTCAGAAATTAAACGGACCATCGAAGTAGGTTTCATCCCGGAGCCGGGCATTGGCCCTTTGAAGAAAGTCCAGGTCAATGTTATAGAATTTGGACCGAGTTGGATGGATCTCATTGCTGCATTCCTGTCTTTCGAACAGCTCCCAGAAGACAAGAAAGAAGCGTACAAGCTACGAAACAAAGTCCTGCGATACTATCTGGATCCGCAAGGAAAGCTTTACAAAAAATCTCTTTTTGGTCCATACTTGGAATGCGTGTATCGGACAAAGTCGAAAAGCTTCTGATTGAAATACATGGAGGCAGTTGTGGCGCCCATTCTGGCGGGCGCTCTTTGGCTCATCGAGCCGTGACATAGGGGTATTA